GTTTATAAATTATCAGATGATGAAAAAGTAAATGAAATGAAAGTTAATGATGATAAATTTGTTTTATATGCATGGGAAAGTAACATTCGAACCTTTCAAATGTCAAAAGAAAAATCAATTAAACCTACTTTATTGAATAAGAGTTTTCATTCACTTTATTTCAAAAACGATGGCGATCTTGTTTTATCTGTTTTATCACACGACTTGTCCTATTATTCTTACATCAGGATATTGATTTATTCTCACATTGACGGTAAATTAAAATTTAAAAAATCTCGTATGGTCAATTCAGACAAAGAACGTAAAGTAATGATTGAGAATAATAAAATATGGGTCATAACTTCAAATAATTTATTTAAATGGGACTTGGATAAATTTAGATTCGAATTTAGTTATTCGCTTGAGTTTGACGGAAATGACGTTGAAAATATTATAATGAGAAAAAATTTAATTTTGTTAAAATATAATGAAAAAATTTCGATTTATTTAAAAGAAATCCATTTTCCAATTCGAAATATTCAAATAGAAAGTAACATTTCGGTTAGAATTTTAAGCAATAACTATTTTTTGACTTTTAATTTGGCCAAGGAAGACGAGAAACAAGATATAATCTTACATCACACAACTGACATCAATAAACAAGCCGTAGAGACAAAAATCTTTAATGATGATAACCCTGAGAATGGTTTCATCCTTTTTGAGTATAATCCAGAATCGAGGAGAGCATTTGGATTCGTCGATGGAAAAATTTCAAGTGTTAATTTAACCGAATTTAATTGGCATGAATGGTTTGTGGCCAATCATAAAGATGATGAAATTGTTGTTGGTTGGAATACTTACTTGAATCAAATCTCCGAAAGTCCATTCAATGATACTATGGTTTTTCCCGATATGGAAAATGCGTTAGCGTTAGTTTCAAAAGCTTTACCAAATCGAAAAAAGGTGGATGATACAAATCCTATAGATATAAATTTCAATAATCAAAAATATAAATGGAGAATAGATCAGAAAAATAAGAAACTCTCAATTGATGAACTTCCCTCAGATACAAACGAAGAATTATGTTCGAGAGAATTGAAAGAATTTGAACTAGTTGGTATTCATTGGAGAATTCTAGATAATAATGCATTAGCATTACGTCAAACTATGCAAAATGTTAAAACAAAATATCTATACATCACAATATACAAATATGATATTACTAATGAAGAAATTAAAGTCCATTATCTTTACATTGATACAGCAGAATTGAAGAAAGACTTTTTCATTAAACTTTTTATGGATCTAGATATCTAGATTACCAATAATGAATTTCGAAGCCGTTTTAAAAAAGAATTCTCATGATAATCCTCTTGATACTTTATGTAAAGAATGGTTAAAAGGTTTCATAGAGGACGATAGATGTCTTGCAATATACGGAAAAACTTTATTACAAAAATTAATCAATCAAAAGTCAATTGATTATATAGAAAAGGTTTATAGTAAATGCACAAAACTAGTTAAAGAAAACCCAAAAAAGAATCTGAAATTTCTCAATTTTATAACATTAAATATGGAAGATTTATATGAAACTTATCCCGATCTCATAGCAAAATTTAATTCTGAAATGTTCATGTTCTTAGACCCTTCTAAGGAAGATATTGTCTCTGAATATCTAAATGACGATTTTCATACTTTTAGTGAAGAAATCGAAATTGAAAGGGAAATATCAAAGTTTGGTTTTATAAATGATACTTTTAGATATTTTGGTGTGAAGTGGATATCGCTAGATTTATTTGCGTTAACATCGACACCGATATTTTACATATTGAAAATGGCATTATACATATTGACAATGTCATTTTTGATATTATTCTTTACTATATTATCCTGTATATGTATTATACCTCTTTGCCTATGTGAGGATGTTATTACATTTCTAATTATATCCAAAGTATTATTTAAAGAAGATAAGAAAGATAAGAAAAAACAAGTTAAGCAACATATTACTCTTATAGTACCTTGTATAAATTATTCTTGCTATCCTTTAGAATATAGTTGGTTGAAGGAAATAATTAAACCTCAAGCAAGTGTTTTTGCTAATACATGTAAAAAAGATTTCTATAAAAGTTTGAATGGGGAAGCAGTTATTGATTTCAAATGGAAAAAATTCGGAAGGAATCGTTATTTTGATATTTGGTTTAGATATATGGTTTTTCTAGTATGTTTTATCAAATATCGATAGTTATTGGATCTTTATATCTTCTATCTGAGTTAAGGCAATTTATTTGGAACCCTAAAATATATTTTTACCATATTTGGAATTGGTTTGGTATTTATTATGTTATTTTCAATTATGTCGGTCGATAGTTAAAGTTAAGATCACTAATTTTAAGAATTTTTTTTTGTTTAAAAAAAAAAGATTTGAGTGCATATATTTCTGTTATTATCGTATCGATCTATTGGATTAAATATGATAATGAACCTTATTGGGCACATTCAGTCACATGTTTATTATTAGATTTAAAATTCTTACTCTTCTTTAGAGTGTTTGAATCCTTTGGTGTTTATTTCGCAATAATATTTGGAGTGGCTAAGCGTGTATTTTCTTTTTTAGTTGTGTTGGCAATTATTCTCGCAAGTTTTGCGCATGCATTTTTTTTACTTTTACATCCTCGTGATTATTTAGGTTCTTTAAGGACACCAAATCCAAGCGATCCAAATAATCCTTGGACCATTTCCAATACTTTTGTTCAAACTGATGAAAATGGAAATATTTTAAATCAAACATTTATTCAATCCCCTGATGAAAATACCAATTTATTTTATTCATATCCCACTTCTCTTCTTGCAATGTATTTATTCTTAACAGGTAAATCTTTTTTTAGCATATTTTCGGATGAACTATAAATAAATCATAACTATAAATATACATTTTTTTAGGAAATCAAGATTCATTATCGTCTTGGACACCGTCTGAAAACAGGACGTTGTTCATTTTAATGGCTGTATTTTCGTTTTTGATTGTCATATATCTAATGAATTTATTCATTGGTTTACTTAATATGGCAATTGAAGAAGATAACGATAGAACTTTGTATATAGTACAAAAAGCTGAAGTTATAGCAGAAATAGAACTCTTTGTTTTAACACCTCTTCAAAGACGTGATAGAACTTGGTTTCCTGAAGAAATGTAAGTA